CTTAATAATAAAAATATAATATTTATTTAAAATATAATATTTATAATGCCACTTAATAATAAAAATATAATATTTATTTGAATCAAAGATATTAAGTGGGACAAAGCATAAAATTACCTAAATAATTTGCATATTATTTGATATAATTATAATAAGTACCAATTATCATATATTTTTTTTTTGTATAATTATGTTTATTTACAATCTACATCAAAAAAAGAGTATTAAGTAAATGTGATTACAGGTTTTGCGCGTGAAGGGGAGACATCCAATGATGTCTCACCTTATTCTACTTTGGTTTAGTTCTGAAGAAGGTCTTGAGGCCAGGTTCTATGTAATCTTCTTGTGGCTGGTCCATTGTTGTATAGTTCCCTTACTAGCTCATTTTCGTGGTGAATGGTACGTTCATTTTGTGACTCCGTGGCTCGATGAATTTCTTCTCTGATGAAAGGAACCTTTAAGTCATTATGGAGTGTTTGGTTACTTACGTACCATGGCGCATCCACTATCGATCTTAGTACTTTAGACTGGAATCTTTGGATAATATTCAGCGACGTTGGTTTTGCACAGCCCCATAGGTGTAGTCCGTAGAACCAGATAGGTTTGAGTATGGCTTTGTATAGAAGAATTTTGTTTTGGATGTTAAGTTTTGATTTACGTCCAAGAAGCCAATACATTTGTCGGAATTTTAAGTCGAGCTGCTTTCTTTTGGTCTGGATATGTTTCTTCCAAGTGAGTCGTTGGTCAAGATGGAGGCCAAGGTATTTAGCGTCTGTTACTGTTGGTATTCTTATATTTTCCATCCTTACAGGTGGGCATATATTGTGACGGTTGGTAAATGTTATTTGAGTTGATTTTGTTTTATTTACTTTTGTTCTCCATTTTGTATACCAATCACTGAGTATGTTCAGATGATGTTGCAGGTTTTGTGAGGCTTGTATGGGATCTTCATTTACGGCTAGTATTGCTACGTCGTCAGCAAAAGAAGCGATTGTAGTATTATTGGTCTCTGGTATATCGGCTGTGTAGAGTGAGAAAAGCAGCGGCCCTAGAACACTACCCTGCGGGACTCCGGAGTTGATAGGACAGAGGTTGGATTGTTGGTCTTTGAATTTTACAGAGAAATATCTATTTGATATGTAGGATTTAAGTAGGAGGAAATAGTTACTGGATAGTGCTATTTTTACTTTGTAAAGCAGACCTCTGTGCCAAACTTTGTCAAACGCTTGTGAGATGTCTAGAAATACAGCGTTGCAGTATTTCTTTTCTTCAAGACTTTTTGATATTTCATTTATCATTCGATGAACTTGTTGGGTAGTGGAGTGATTTTCCCGAAAACCAAACTGATGTTTTGGAAGTAATGTAAGGAATTCATGATCTGCGTATATTCTTTGAAGTAGCAATCTTTCAAAAACTTTGCTTACGGTTGGGAGCAGGCTGATAGGTCGATAAGATGTTACTTCATTGGGCTCTTTTCCTGGCTTGAGGATCATAATGACTTCAGCAAATTTCCATATTTTTGGAAAGTATGATAAGCTTAGCATGCGGTTAAATATAACTGTTAGCAAAGTTATGGCCTTACGAGGAAGTTGTTTTAGTACTTGTGCCGAGATTAAATCATAACCTGGGGCCTTTCGTGAATTGAGTTTGTTTATTTCTTTCCTAACTTCTATAGGAGTAAAACTTTTAATTGGGAGGGACATTTGACATGCTGCGCTAATTAGTTCTTCCACTTCTTCATCAGGGTCTGCCGGCTCTGTTTGAAATACGTTTGTAAGATGTTCAGCAAAAACGTCAGCTTTTTCTTTGTTGGAACAGGCCCATTCGCCATTTGGTTTACGGATAGGAGGAATGGTTGTGTATGGTTTCTTTAGCTTCTTAGTGGCCTTCCATAACGTCTGGTCATTTGCTGTAAGATTTGTTATGTAATGTTCGAAGGTTTCGTTGTTTGCAGCTTTGATGGCTACTCCAAGTTGCCTTCGTAGTCTATTGAATATATGTAGGTCTATGTTATTTCTAGATCTTTGCCAAGTTCTCCTCGCACGACGTTTTTTAGCAATGAGTTGGCGAATGTGCAGGGGAACATTTGTGGTATGTGTTGGTTTGCGTTCAGTTCGTGGTGTAGATTGCCATGCCGCTTTTTGCACAAGTGTGGTGAAGTATTGAGCTGCTGTATCTATGTCATGTGTAGACTTGATCCGCTGATTAAGATGGGTGTTTTCTTCTAGGTAGGATTGAAAATCTGCCCAGTCGGTGTTTTTTGACGTGAGTCGAGGAGGTGGTGGGCTGTTTATAACTGTGGTACTCAGGCTCATAATAACCGGTGTATGATCCGATGAGAGATCATAGCTGGATTCTATTAGACAGTTGGTTCTGGACACTCCTTTGCTTATGTAGTAGTCCAGCAGATCTGGAAGTTTTCTTGGATCACTTGGCCAGTACGTAGGGATTCCGTTGGTGTGGCAATCATAGTTGTTGTCGGTCATTGCTTTTAGAAGATTACGACCTTTTGTTGTTATGAGTCTTGAGCCCCAGTGTATGTGTTTCGCATTCCAGTCTCCCCCGGCAACGAATTTGCTGCCAAGTAATTGGAAGAAGGCTTTGTATTCATCTGTGGAGATTGTGTGACGAGGTGGGCTATACATTGCAGATATGTTAAAGTGCCATGGTGTTGAATTTACTTGAACGATTGTTGCTTGTATTTTTTCTGTTGCATAATTCGGCAATACATGATGTGATATGCAGCTGCGGATGATTACCGCCGAGCCACCATGAGCTGTACCATCAGGATGAGGTGTGCTGTATGTGGTATAGAGCGGAATATTGAACGTAGTCAGATCGGTAAAGTGAGTTTCTGAAATAAGCAGAACGTCAATTTTATTTAAGTTTAAAAAAGTAATTACTTCTTGCTTATGGTTTAGCAGGCCGTTAGCGTTCCATGTGGCAACTCTAAGTATGTTTAAGAATTTCTTTGGTTAATGACTTGTGTTAGTAAGTTTAATATCATACTGTTTTGACTCATGAGTTGTGAGAACATGTTTTTGAACTCGTTTAGGAATGTTAATAGTTGTTGTTCTATATTAGTTTTAGGTTCTGAATCGTGATTTGTTTGATTTGCTGTCACGTTTGCATATGTTCTTTGATGGTTTTGTAGAGTATTTAGCTGATTTGTTTTAGTATATACATGTGGACTGTTGAATGTTGGTCCTTGAGGCTGTTGGTTTCCTCTTTTCTGCAAATGTCTGTTTTCTACTAGTTCCCTGTAGACTACACAGCCTTTATAGTTAGCAGGGTGACCTTCTTTGCATAGTGCACACTTAGCTGGAGTGCTTCTAGGTTTTTTACAATCTTTTGTATTGTGTTGTCCTCCACATTTAATGCAGTAATGCGGTTTAGTGCAATATGTTTTACTATGACCATATGCTTGACATCGCATGCATTGAATGATTGAGTTTCTCTTATTTGGTGTCTCGACTGCTATTTTGGTGTGACATAAGAATTCTAGGTTGAATATGTCTTTGTTGTTACTGTTGGGTTCAAGATCTATGAAAAACAAAGATAAAGGTTCCTTTGTTTGCCTGTGTCGAATGTTAGTTACATTGCGAACTTTATGGCCGGCTTTTTCTAGTTCCTTTATTATATCTGTTGTGGGTATAGAGTGATGAATATGTCTTATTACCACTCTATAGGCACGCTCTTCCTTTATTTGGTAAGTGTGGTGAATGATTTCTTCTTCTCGTAAATGTCTTATCAGTTTACGGTATGTATCTATTGTATATGTTATAATCTTGACAGTGTCGTTTGGTAGAGTTCTGGTATAGTAGGTTTCTTCCTCCACAATTTGTGCAAAGTTATCGACCATATCTTTAAAGTTTTTGACGCCATATACGAATATTGGAGGTGGTTTTGGTATTTTCTGTTGTTTTTCTGTTTCAGTCTGTTCAGAGCTCTCAGCGTTAGATACAGCACTGTATCGATTTTGTATTTTTGTTGGTGGTGAGCTTGGAGAATTGAGATCATTATTTTGTTTTGAAAATTTACGTTTTTTGACTACTTGCCATGAGTTTTTATTTTGGGTTTCTTGATCGTCGTCTTCACTAGACTCCATATCCGTGTTTTCTGAATGACTAATTGCAAGTTTTAGCTTTGTGTTTAAGGTCTGCCCTACAGTAGATGGGTTGCTTGGGTTGTAGTAAATTGGTTGGGGTTGTGGGGGAAATTGTTGTGGTTGTGGTGGAAGAGCGAATTGATTTTGTGGAATGTTTGATATAGGAGTATTTGCGGGTTGCCAGTATAGGTGGTTTGGTGCATGTTCGGATGTGTATTCTAGTGGAGAATATTGTTGAGGAGTTGGGTACATGTTCTTAAATGTTTGTTAATAGTGGACCTGCTGCTTACCTGCAATTTCTGCTGATACTACAATAGACACTGATTGTTTGTGTTCCGTGTATGTGAATTGTTCATTGTAGAAAACAGACTTTGGTACGCCACTGCCACTTTACTGTTTATTTTAATAACTAGAATTTTTAATAATTAGATTTTAATTGTTCTTATCGGTGGTCACTTTTTGCTATCGCACTCGGCGGAATACGTCCTTACTCTACGATATACAAGTGAACACTAATTATCATATATGGACCAAAATGTTTTACCAAGAGAATGTGCATATTATTTGATCTAGACATGATAAGTACCAATTATCAGGTATGAACCAAAATGTTATTGTTTAGTTTTGTTTTCAGGTACATGATATAATATTTTAACAGGACTATACCAAACAAAATTAGAATAATAAGGACTTATCGATATTATACCAAGCCGTGGCTCATTTTCTAGACGTGATGGATATACCATAGTCAGATCAAACGAAAATAGATCAAAAACAAAATGCAGTGCAGGACTTAACAAAATTTTCGCTATTTTGGAGTTATCATGTTTCTCCCAAACACCACAGATATTAAATGCTATTAAAATATATTCCATAACATGTAAAAACATACCCAATTTGAGAGCTAGCTCTGGAGCATAAGTCATCATCGATACTTTAGCTGCAAGTAATACATCTTTAAAACTGAAATAGGACTTTCCTATATTCCTGAATTTGCTTTCTTTATCTGTAAAACAGTTACTGTCGAGTCCAAATGCGCAAGACACTATCACATCTGTGGTAAACATGGCCAAACACTGCAAAATTAAAAAATTATAAGAAATTGAATAAAAAGTTTTGAAACGAAGCTTCTATACTGGCGTTGTAATACTTTTTTCTCTATAGTAAAATGCTGAGGCAAGCGTCACGGAACTAGCGCCACAAGGTGGCGCCGTCACTGGCAGCGTCATAAAATAGTGGTACCTATTTAACAATCTAAGCAGGTTTATGTTGTATTTTGTTATTTTCATCTTTTATGCCGTATATTTCTGTTGTCTTTTACCCTCTTAATGCTTTGATCGTATTTCAAAAGGATTTACTGTCATTTTTATGACCTGCATTTAAGTTGCTACCAAATTTTTCCTAGATTTTTTGTTTTTCATAACTTACTGTCTTTTTGGCAATTTTTTTGATCAAATGAAAGGCAGCTATCGAGCACAGTTTTATTAATTAAATCTTGCCCAAGTACTTTCGCTTCCTAGAGCATCTTCAAGGGCATTTCGTCAATTTTGGCCTATTCTATTTATCATCTTCGGAGAGATTCTCTATCCTGTTGCCGACCAGAATATAGATTCGTCTATTTTTTAATTAATTTTAAACTGTTTATCCTTGTTTAGTGTAGTGTTATGTACAATTTTATGTTAATGACATTATGTTATTGTTGGATAGGCCAAAATTGACGAAAATGCCCCTGAAGATGATCTAGTGATTGAAATTACTTGGGCAAGATTTAATTAATAAAACTGCTCGATATCTGCTTTTCATTTGATCATATCAATTTTATTTTTATTGTTATATAGTTCTTTGTCATTTGAATCCCTTGTTTGCACGTATCTTTTCCATGCTTTTTTTTATCAGTGATATAATCGTTTTCATCGTTCTTGGCGTGTGCGTGTAAAAACACTTGCAATAAGTTGTTTCATCTGTCTTTCCTTGTCTAAGCTCGATTCGTTTACCTCCTCCAGTGGCGGAGCAAAATGTAGCATGTCAAACGAAATAATAGTTATAAAAGAAAATTATAAATTATTTTTCATTAAATTTCTAATAACGGAATATACGTATAAATTGCGAAGAAGTATTTTTCTAGCTTGCAGTACAATAGGATAGGATATAACGAAAAGTACATTTTAAAAGGATTTTGAAATATACCCAAAAAAGTGTTAATTATTTAAACCACTTTAATTAAAAAATGATACAGATTTTTTAAGTTTTAAGCACTGTAGCGAATTCTGAACTGTTACAACGTACTGACCTTGATTAATTAGCTAATCAGTCAGCGTCTTCACTGGAACTGTCTTCATCATTGGAATCTTCCGCCAAATCGATGATAATCCTACTTTCATTTTCATCATATGTGACCATTTTTGCCCAGTCATCCTGAATTAATTTTTCAGTATGATTAACATAACTCGCCCACACTGCAGGTGTTGCCTCAGCTAATGCATCGCCCCAAACTTTTTTCACTGTTTCATCTCCACGTCCATGTTCTCCAATATGACGATCATAGTATTGTTTAGAAATGCCCCAGACCAACTCAATCGGATTATATTGACAGTGATATGGAGACAATATCAAAACCTGATGCCCATGTTCTTGGAGTAGCTCGTCTATAACGTACCTGTTATTTTGTGGTTTATTCTGGCAACAAAGACTCAATAGCTCTGTCTTGCCCGAATCGTCGTCAAAAATTATTTTTTTCGCTCGTAACCATTCTTGTAAGTCCGATTTTTTCCAACTGGCATTCGGTAACTTTCCTATTAAAGAGCTATGGTATGAGGCATTATCCATAATAATTAGAGATGGTTCCTCCAACATTGGTATCAGCTTTTCGGAGACCCACTTTTTAAAAGACTCTTTATCCATAGAATCATGATAGTCTGCACTCTTCGATTTCGTAGAAAACAGTAATCCAGCATCTTTAACAATTCCTTGCCTACTTCCGGCATGTAAAACGCCAAAGCGTTTACCTGTATTTTCGTGTCCTTTTCTGATGCTTTTCACACATTTTGCCAAGTACGTTTATATGCCCCTTTTAGGAATATCCATGTTTCATCTAAAAAAACGAACTGAAGTGGGCTTGGACTTAAAAAATTTCTCATATAATGCCTCAAAAAATACAGTCGTTTGGAGACAATACATGGTTTCTCACATAGCATTCGTCTACTATTTTCTACTTTGTATGAAAACCCACAATTTTTCATAAGACGCCACAAACTTGTATCAGAACTGTCATAGAGATGCTTGTTTCTTAATTGTGTATTTAGAACTTTAATTGTAACGTGCTCTCCTTTTGCTTTCATGCCATACAGTACATTTCTAATCTCTCCTTTTATAGTATCGCTGACATCATTAGTCTTTTTTTGTACATTACGTGACTCTTCTGGTGTAGTAAGAGTCACTCTTTATTCTTGTCACTGTGCGAAGACTGATTTTCAAAGCGTCCGCTACTCGTTCATGTACCGATGATAACGAAAGCAAAGGTCCGTTGTTTTCTTTTTCTTTTTTAAAATACTAAAACAAATGAACTACACATTGTCGCATTTCTCCTGTTATCGTTTTTCCCGGCATTTTTTTTATTAAATAGAACAATTAGTTATTCACAACAAAAAATATTAAGTAAAACTGTTCGGAACAAATTCCAACAATGACTGACTAAAATCGACTAAAACAACATAAAATATCAATGGTAATTGCTACAATTATAAACCTATTAGCCAGCTCATTCAAGAACAATGCTACAAGTCATTATTGCAATGGGTATCGGAAGAGAGAGAGTTAATTTATAATAAACTGGAATTTTTACGGTGTCGAGAGAATTATTTTATGTAATGGAATTCCACGCAGTAACAGCTTAAACTATTAATTAATTAAAAACTGTTTACTTATAAAAACTATTTCATCAGCTACTTCAAACCTGCACAGATCAGGGTAACATGTTAAAAAAAACACGTCACTGCCAGCTATCTGTATTCGTAAAGAGGCCGAACTTATCACCGACACCGTGTGTTATTGCTACAATACTGGGAGACGTGAGTGGTCTCTTCATTCTCTTCTCATCGCACTTTACCATGACCAATTGTGTGACTCGCACAATTAAATTAAGCATCTGTGTATCAGAGAGAGACGAATATTAAAAATTCCGTACTAGCTTATTTCAGGCACACGCCAAGAACGATGAAAACGAGTATACTATCTGGTTAGATTTTGGTTTTTTATTATTTTCTTAATTCCACAGGATTTTTTAGCTGATTCCTATCTTACTTCCTTTAATTTTTTCCATTTATCATCTAGTGGGCTCTCTTAAATCTTTTTATATTTCTAGAGTGTATTATTTATTTTATTTTGGCAAATATCCCTTATGGATTTTCTAAGAGGAATAATTTGAGGAAATTTTAAACATGCTCCAGTATTGGATTTGGAGAATGGTTTTATTTTAGTAGGGATCATTTTACCCTACTCTAGGGGTCATTTTACCGTACCTGGTTTGGTAAAATGATCCTTTTGCAAACATTTGAAATATTATAAAATATGTACATCTATTATACATTTTTAAATATTAATTTTTGGCCTGTAATTATTTATTTATCTTACGGGGATCATTTTGGACTACTCTCTCCTATCCGTTAGTTTTAAAAAAATCAAATACAGCCTATATAGAAGTACTTATAAAAGAAAAAAGTTAAAATCATATGAATATATATATATATATATAATATATATATATATATATATATATATATATATATATTTATATATATATAATATATATATAATATATATATATATATATATATATATATATATATATATATAATATAGGGTAAATGATACAGTCGTTGGCCATGATATAGTGATTGGCCATGTTAACATAAATTTATAAATATTAAGAGTTTCTGCTGTTACTGAAATAAATCAAATTTACGGGATAATTTTGGCAACGTCGCTTAATGTTCACCTACAGTTTCGTCTTGCTACAGTAACAATAGAGTGCTTAAAGGGTGTAGTCACTTCTTGTTGTCGCCAGTTTAGTTGTTCACAGGTAAAAACTAACGAATTTCTTAAGGATTGTACACCTGTTTTTGATCCATTATAAACTTAATCGTTATAGATACAGATATAATTTAGCATGAGTTATTAAACTAAGGTTGTAACTGATCCAATTTTAGGCCCGAAACATTTTTATATAACAAAAAACGCGCGAATTTACTATGCCAATAACTGTATCAATAATTTAGGTATATAAACAGTTATTGGCCAGCCGGCCAATTACTGTGTTAAATTTTTAAAATAAGTTATCAGATATAATTTGTTTTTCATAAAAGTGGACTCTATAAGTTACATTATTCTTATTGTTGCCTTTACCTATTCTAAGAGTAAACAGTCGTTGGCCGTAGGCCAATTACTCTATTTCAACGTGGCCAATCACTATCGCAATGCTTTTTTTTTCAGTTACAATATGCCAAAGGTCTCTGCAGGTATTTCTTACCGAAAAAAATATAAAGAAGAAGATACAATTAAGGCTTTAGAGTCTATTGAAAATGGTATGAGTCAAAGAGAAGCTTCTAAGTTATATCAGATTCCTCGAGCAACACTTCAGTTCCGGTCAAGTGTCAGATTTAATAATAAAGTTTCTCTTGGACCTAACCCAGTATTAACTTCAGAAGAAGAAGCAGTTCTAGAAAGATGGATTTTGACCTCATACAAGAAAGGATTTCCGCGTAGAATGGAAGACATTCAGGCTTCTGTGAAATATTTCCTTGACGCAACCCCTAGAGAAAATCCGTTTAAAGATAACCGTCCAGGAAAAGGATGGTATCACGCCTTCCTAAAACGTCACCCAAATATAACGCTAAGAACCTCAGAAGGAATAACAGCAGCTAGCTCAGTTGTAGCCGAAGCAGACATAAGAAACTGGTTTAATAATGTGGAAGACTATTTAAAGGAAAAACAATTATTTGAGGTTCTTGAAGATCCCAGCAGAATCTACAATGGAGACGAAACCTGTTTTTGGCTTTGCCCAAAGAACAAAAAAGTTCTTGCACCAAGAGGAGCGAAAAATGTTTATGAAATACAACATCATTCAAAAAACAACATCACAGTGATGTTTACATTTTCAGCTTGTGGTGTTGTGACCCCACCGATGATTATCTATGCTTACAAAAGACTGCCAGCCGAAATTGTTAAATCTGTACCTGACACCTGGGGAATTGGGTGCAGTGATAACGGTTGGATGAAAAATCAGCTATTCTACGAATATATAGGAAACGTTCTTTATCCTTACTTAAGAAAAAATAACATCAAATTTCCAATAGTCTTGTTCGTTGATGGTCACAGTACACATTTAACCTATGAAATAAGCGAATTATGCACAAAACTACAGATAATTCTAATTGCTCTATACCCTAACTCGACTCGAATTATGCAACCTGCAGATGTGGCTGTCTTTAAGCCCTTAAAAGAAGGATGGAAAAGTGCTGTATTAACGTTTCGGAGAGAGCACCCTACTGAAGTAGTAACAAAGGACAATTTTGCTGCAGTTTTAAAAACAGTGGTTGATAATATAAAACAAGAAAATATTAGAAATGGTTTTCGTGCCTGTGGGCTTTTCCCTTGGAATGTATACGCAATTGATTATTCCAAATGCACTGGCAAGGCAAAAGAGAAAGATAGAGACACGGATGTCGGTGAAATTTCATTCGAAACATTTAAAAAAGTTGTTGGAGAAGAAAAAATGGAAAGGCTTAAAAACTTTGTTGAAAGTGATGCACATAATTCCGATTTTTGACCTTGTTTTATCTTTATAATAATTTTTTGAAGGCAAGTCCATCCGTGAATACTGATCAAATGGAAGATATGGATAAACACGAAGATACAGATCAGCAGAGAGGAATGGACCAACTCCATAGGAGGATCCAATCTAAAATCTGTGAGCCAGAAATAAATCTTGAAATCGGAAATTTCCAGGACGACAAAAATGAGGATTTTATTAAGGATACTTCGGAAATTATCGTAAATGAGCAAATGTTTGACATTGAAAATATTCCTGTTGTAATAGAAGAAACTACTAGCTTAGACAACCAAATGCCTAGCACTTCATCGCTCGCCTCTGAACACGTCTTATTAAATAAATCATCTTCCTCAATCAGCGATTATATTATTTGGCCGAAAACTCCCGAAAGGAAAGGAAAAAGGGAGACGGAGAAACTACCCTTTGTTCTGACTTCTTCCGTTAGGAAAAATGCAATTAAGGAAAAAATAGCTATAAAAAAAGAACTGGAGGCGCAGAAAGAGAAACGTAAGACTGAAAGGTTGAACAAAAAACAACTAAAAGGAAAACAAACCAATAAAAAAAAGCACCAATCAAAAGAAAACTTAAACATAATGATACAGAAGGATCACCAAGCGACACTGACGTTAAACTTGTTTTTAAAAATAATACATATCCAGAAACCGTAACGAGCAGAACAGGTGATAAAGAAAACAATGATCCCAATATGAAATTTTCTGTAAATGTAAACGATGGTGATGCTTTACTCAACGTAACGGAAACCTTGCCAAAAATGGACTTCCAACATAGCCCTGAAAACATCAAAAGTTATCTTACTGTTGTGCCAGAAAAAATAAAAAGAAAACTGTTTAGTGACAACAGTGAAGATGAATTAGATAATACTAAAAAAATAATTAACACGAATATGGTTATTATTAAACCATCTGCTCCTAATCCATTTAAGAACAAAACTATATACACTGGACTGTGCTATACGTGTGTTAATAATATAACACGTAGTCAATATGGAGTAAAATGTTCAAATTGTTCCAGAACATACCATATAAAATGTATTTCCAAAAATAAGATGAAATCCGCCGAAATGGAGAACTTTTGGTGCAACGTTTGTTTTGATAAGATAACATTGTAATTGGTTTGTAATTTCTTCCATTTATTAAAAATTTTTGAAACCAAATTATTCTTTGATCACTAAAATTATATATATAATTTTTTATAGTTCTTTAACCAAAATTAAAATTACGCAGGTAGGGTACATAAATAAGAAAAATGTGTAGGGTACCTCAGCTTCTTAGTGGTGGCCAATTACTATCTACTTTACTATGCCAATTACTATACGAATTAGGCCAATCACTGTAAAATATGCTTCTGCAAGAATAAAACTTTTTTTTATAAATATTAAACATTTTTAATCAATAAATGACTTACTGAGTCATAAAGAGGACACTTTAGTCTAACATTTAGTGTATTATTTAAATATATGGTTTTCAATAAAAATTAATGTCTTACACATTTATCAAACTCTAATGCTTAAGTGGCCAATTACTGTAGCCTTTACCCTATATATATGTTAGAGTTTTATGGGTCAGATTTACCTCTCTAATATCGACGTCTTGTTTCTTTTCAGCCAATTGTCCAATGAAATTCGTCATTTGTCCACATGCGTGGGTTATAAGTGGAAACATCATTTTCATTTTTCCTGTCGTGAATGTTGGGGTTAGTTTTGTTCTCATATTTTTCCAATTTGTTTCGTCCATTACGAAGAGATTTTCTGTTACCTGATCATGTTTTGTGTAATAAAATCCTCTGTCTACAAAGTAACTGAAGTCCTGAAAAAGGAGAAATATTATTAGATTAGAGTGTAGGAGACAAATATAAGTTGCATTTAGGGGAAGTATGCCTACGATGGCATATATAACTACACTTCTCGTTTTTTTTTATTAAAATAAATGCTCATATTTCTTACAATTTTTTTCTAGTTCAGTTGAATGTACCAATTAAGCTGAACATGTAAAGGTCAAAGGGAATGTGAATTTTTATATTAAAAAATTGAAATATCAGAAATGTCAAGTGTGCTATCATAGGCACATTCCTTGCCTATGATGGCATGGCTGCACAGGATAATAGAAAAAAAATATGTTTTAGTGGAATTTTCGCATTTTATTCAAAGAGAACAATAATACAATAAATAAAAAAGTAACACACATTAAAACAATTAAGAACATAAATCACAATCAAATATCTTACATTTTTTATCGACACCAGCGCATTCAGAGTGACACCAGGATTGGCACTCCTGACATTTAATCCAGCATTCTTTCGACTTTGAGAGGCCATTACAATACAAGCAAGCGACGTCGGAATAATCATATTCAAAATTTTTGTTATCGCTTGTGGATTCCTGTTACTTCTCATCATTTCTCTCTATCCATTCTTTTGCCATACGGTAAAATGTTCGTTTTTCAGGAAAAGTGTCATCCACAAATTTCCGTTCTAATCTACTGTTGTACGTAGCTTTTCCTTTAGGGTTTATCTTCTGTTTTGTTGTTTAACTTTGCTTGCAAGTTTTCTTCATTCTATATTTTCTTTTTCAACAACCATATCTTTCAATTCTTGAATTTCAGGGGTTGAATTTATTACCTCTGTTTTTCCACGCTTCTTTTGTTTTTTTTTTGTGTTTGACTGCGAAACACTTGGAATGGATGATCAATCTTGGATTGTTATGTGAAGAGTATCCTGTTGAGTATTTTCTAGAAGGACCCGTTGGCAATCTTTAGGTGGGTGATTTTGTCCACTTTCTAGGTTTTCTTCTAAATTGTAATCTGGATTGTTTAGATGGATATTTTGAGTTTAATCTCAATTGCTCTCTATAGGTTTATCTGTAAACAATGATGGAGCGAACATTAATTCCTCAAAAATATCAGGATCAAAAGGTTGAATCCCTGTTTTGGCAAAAGCATTTATGGCATTAGCAGGAGTAGCTTTTTTAAGGTAAGCTGTTTTAAACAACCCAGCAACTTGAAAGTGCATCACGAGTCTTCCAGTATTTTGTTTTAACCAATTATATTCTCTTGTTTATATTAGGTTTGTAGAGGACTAAAAAAGCCCAGGTCGAGTGGCTGCACCCGATGGGAACAGTGTAGTGGAAAGCAGAAAAGTACAATATCATTCTCTTTTGCAACTTAAGACTTAAGACTGTAAGACTTCCAATCCCTTATTACTACTGTGGCCATCTAACACTAATAATATTTTGTTCTCATTCGAAGCTTTGGTATAGTAAATAAAATGTTTAAGCCATTGAACAAAAATGTCTGAAAACATCCACCTTTTCTCCTGGCAAAAAGCAACACTTCCCGGTGGGGCAGCGTCCATAAATTCATTTTTGAACCTTTTTCTGGGAAAAATAAATGCAGGTGGTACTTCTTCTTCTTCTTAAAGTGCCCTCTCCTCAATGGAGGTTGGCTACTACAATTTTAAACTCTTCTCTATCTTCAGCTGTTCTTATTAGCTGTTCAAAATTTAGCCCTGTCCATTGTCGGATGTTTCTGAGCCATGATAGTCTTTTCCTTCCTAGGCCTCTCTTTCCCTCGATTTTTCCTTTCACTATAAGTTGGGCATATTGGTACTTATGATTTCTCAGTATGTGGCCTAGGTATGATGTTTTTCTTACTTTTACTGTGTTAAAAAGTTCTCTTTCCTTGCCTATTCTATGCAGCACTTCTTCGTTTGAGGTATGCGATGTCCATGAAATTTTTAGTATTCTCCGGTAGATCCACATTTCAAAGGCCCCCAATTTATTTACGGTTGATGTTTTAAGGGTCCACGTTTCAACTGCATATGGAAGAGTCGACCAGACGTAGCATTTTGATAAACGTAGTCGAATTTCGAGTTTTATTCGAGAATCACAAAGCAGTTTTTTTATTTTTTCGAAAGATTTTCTAGCCTGTTCTATTCTCGATCTTATTTCTTGATCAGGATTTAGGCTGCTATCGATCCAACATCCCAGGTACTTAAATCTATTGACCTGTTCTAAGATGTGCCCATTTATTGTGCAAGGTTGAGGTACGTTTTGGTTTTTTCGGATTGACATCACTTTGGTTTTTTTTAATGTTTATTTTCATACCAAATTGCTCACAGGTAGAGTTGGTCTTGTCGATGAGTCGTTGTAGACCTGAGTCGGAATCCGCAATTAACACTGTATCATCGGCGTATCTGATACTGTTGATATTTACGCCATTCACCTTGACTCCATCCTTGGAATCCTCCAATGCTTCTTTAAATAGAAACTCGGAGTAAAGATTAAAGAGCAGAGGCGACAGAACACATCCCTGTCTAACTCCCCTCCTAATTTCTACTTCTGCGGATGTGGAACCTTCGATCATAACTCTGGCTTTTTGGTTCCAGTACAAGTTTTTTAAGAATTTGATGTCTTTTCCATCTAAACCGACTTCTTGCAAACGTTCTAATAGTAGGTCGTGTCTTACTCTATCAAATGCTTTTTCGAAGTCTATAAAGCATATAAATATATCTTTCTGTTGGTCGTAGCACTTTTGGGCGAGAACTAGTAAACTGAACAGGGCTTCTCTCGTTCCCATGCCGGCTCTGAATCCAAACTGATCGTCTCCGATGATTGTTTCGCACTTTCTATAGATACGATTATGTACGATTTTTATTAGGACTTTTACAGCATGACTCATAAGGCTTATCAGACGGAACTCATTGCAGTGTTGTGGGTTTGGCTTTTTTGGTAGTGGGATGAATATTGACTCCAGCCAATCTTGGGGTATTTTACCTGTATCATAAATGCGATTGAATAAAAGGACAAATAATTCGATATTTTCTACAGGTGGTACAAAAGTACCAATTGCATTCATTGAACAAACAATTAACTGTTAAATGCTGACCTCATTCCGCACTGCTCAGTGCTCCAACTTGTTTCCGTTCCTTGGGTGCAAACACCTTTTGAGGCCTTGTTTGAACAGTACTAAGACCTGATTCATCAACGTTGAATATATTTTCGGATTGAAAATTTTATTGTGAAATGTATTAAATGCTTGTGCTCGCGCGGGAGATGTATTTTCTGGTGTTGAGTGAAATGGTACTATTTCTTTTTAAAAAAGCCCTCACCCACTTCCATCCAGCAAGACGAGTCGTTTTGTTGAATTTGTATTTGATGTTATTTCTCTCAGCAAGTTCGAAAACTAATTGTCTCAAATTTAGCGTTGTGAGACCAAAAAATTTTGTTTCCACATCAATCACATGAGTAGCTAACTCTTGCTCAAGATGAGGTTTTAAGTTTTTTAAGAGACAAGGAGTTTTAAGTCTTAAATTTCGTACTTATTAAGACTCTTTTCACAACCGTTGTTGATTGTTAACTCTTCCTTTTTGTCTTGCCAATCTTTCCCTTTCTTTTATGTGAAATTTTATATCGAGCTTTCGCTTTTTTCCTACGCCTGCAGGTTGACCATCCGAATTTTCGGAAACTGACATTTCTATAAACAAAGATTAAATTTTAATATTTTTATTCAACAATAACTAAATGCTAACTTACCCATTAGACACTGACCTAATGAACTATAGATAACTTCAGTTTTTACGGCAGGTCAATGTTAAATAACATTCACTTTTAAAACAAGTTTTAAAATACTTTTCAACAATAAAATAGCTAAAATAGTTCATAGCTAAACAATACTTTTTACTCAACGAAGCAAAGCAAACTGAAAATCAGCTGTTCCAGATCACACCTCCAGATTCCGAACGTCCGAAGGCGACACGTTTTTATTTACATTGCGCGGATAAACGATAACATTCCAGTAATATTGGGCTTTTTCCGCCCAACAACAATGTTTTTACATAAAGGTGACCGACGATAATATCGACGTTAATATTCATAAAATGGCTATCTCACTTTAATTCGCCATATTTTTGGAAAGTTATCCTTTTTCCAATCACCCATTCCAATTATTTTAATATAAGACCATATAAGACGTTCCCTATCTGCCATTGCTACACCGGCACAACAAAATGATTATTACAGATTAAATTTCTTCGTATTGGTCAAAATAGTTTCCTTCTTCATAACTAAGTTTTTTTTTATTTTTTTAGATATTATTTTTTGTTAATATAACGCAATATGAAAAAGTAGTATAAAATATTGTGTAAAGTGTAAGTTGAGTTGCCTAACTTTGGCAAATATTTTAATTTTAAATACTTTTGAACCAAAATACCTATTATGTATTTTCTTTTGGAAAATGTTTCCAATATGAATACTTTGTAATTGTGGTCTTGCTTTTAATTATTATTTTAACTTGTGTTAAGAAAACCGCAGATTAATCGGAACTTGCAACATTGTGGCTTCGGACTATGCCTATTACTTTTGTTTAAATCTTTTTAATGTTCATACCTATTTGTTGGTCTTCGAATGCTTTTATCAAAAATAAACAAGGTACTGTGAAACTAACTCGCTTTATTAAATTGAACTGAAACATTATGCATTAAATACCTACAATAAATTTTACATTAATTCTCTTCTATTGGTGATTCGTCTTCTGGAACATCATCTTGTGAATTACAAAAGTCTTCTTCTACTGAAATTCGGCAGCTATTTTGTAGCAATCTTTGAATCTTAAAGAAATCTAGCTTGACTTTTTGAACTTCGAACCTCAACATAACAACATCGTTATACAATTCCATTATTTTCTCGGTATACATATGCATTTTCTGAATCATATCTGCATATGTGGTGTCTGCTGAGTTTTTTTGCAATTCGATAAGTTGTATTTCTTCTTCGACTTTATTTTCCATCGCGAAAAAAATATTTATTTAATAA